TTATTTTCGTTTGCAAAACTTTATTTTCGTTTGCAAAACTTTATTTTCTTTTGCAAAACTTTATTTTCTTTTGCAAAACTTTATTATTTTGCATATATATGTGGCATTATATTGACTCCATAAAAATGCCCTCGAAACCACCTTAAATATGTGATAGAGCACATGAATGCTGCCCGATAGAGAACATTGTGGATCGACTACATGTGGCTTAAATGGCCTGATGAGGTTTGACCTCTGCTCCCTTTAAAATATTTACATATTTACTTTATCTAAATTTACTAGTATCTAAATTCAGTGTCAACAGTCAGCCCACTGATCTACTGGCCCGCGGGGAAAATGCACCAGTGCTCCCTAAAGATCATCACATCAGTGATTACAAGAGACAGCAAAGCATAAATATTTCCCCAATTTAAGTTCACAAAGGCAAAGATTAATTCAGGAGAGGCCCAGAGCTAACCCAGCAGGATTTGTTTGTGCAAAACGCAGCCCATCGTATACTAGTCTGCTCCTAAATCATCTACAATTGCAAGAGGAATAAGTTAAAGAGGGGAAAGCTAACCCAGCAGGATTTGTTTGTGCAAAACGCAGCCCATCGTCTACTGGCCTGCTCCTAAATCATTTACAATTGCAAGAGGAATAAGGTTAAAGAGGGGAACATCTGGTACGGCCAAAATAACCCATGCTTTCAGGTAATGGCTAATGAAATTGTGCTTTCTTTAACATTTCATTCTGCTGTCATGCTCAGTGGCTAAATGTTTACAAGAGCACGTATGGGATGATAAAAGAAGTTCAGAAAAGCCCCCACACTCGCTCACCTGTGCTGTGTTACTTTACATTATCCAGGATGCCCTGAAGGTGTAGCTCACCTCTTTGAAGTAAACCCAGACAGCTGGTATTTGTCAAGATGAATGTCCACTTTTTGTCCTTTTAGTTAGAGAGCATTCAAGGAAAGGAAATGCTAAATGGTTCGGTAGGGACGCAGATCTAATGCGGCTAACTCCAGCTGGGGGCAATTCTGAATCATACACACCCCACCACTGAATGTTCCTGGCAGCTCCTGGCTCAGTGTCTGGGCTGGATTACATACTTTCATGGACATATAGGAAAGTCTGTACAGATCCGTATGTGGACTATATATGTAAATGCAATTAGGGAGATTAATGGGTTGCCATTTCATTGAATCTGGCTAACTGGCTAATTTAAAAAACTGTGATTTCCAGGTCTGGAAAAGTCCGAGGAAATTAATCAAATCCTAAATGTGAATTGTGTAATTTCAGCACTACTTGGAATTGTAAAAAAAAAAAAAAAAAGGTTTCCTGAACATTGCCCTCTTCTGCACCTGGTCAGACAAACAGATCCCGCCCACAGCTCATGCGGCATGCAATTGGCCGGGCAAATATTGCTGCCACAACTTGTTCGGACACTAAAAAAAGCACTCACAGTGCCAAAGTTTACACATCAACCCACAGGTCCCTTGTGAAAAAAGAAGTACAGTTCAGAAAAAAATACTTATTATAGAAATAATATAGCCTACTGTAAAATAATACACTTTGGTGTTAACTGAATTTAATGGACACTTAGCATGTTAATTGAAATTAAATAAATGTGTGACAGTTGAAATTTATAATACATAAGATGAACTTTTTTGACCCACTTAAGTAGATTACTGTGTATATTTCTGTATAAAGTGTACAACCAAATGTCCTGACAAGAATTTATGAAATTGTATGAATGTATATATGTAATATGACACATTTAACATATATTAACTTTAAATGTAATATTGAATAACACTACAGATAAAATTACAATCAAGTACTTAACATGCTTTAGTCGACAAGTCAAAATAAGTGTACTTTAAAACACAACAAAAATAATGTACTTTAAACTGGTAACATTTTACAATAAGGTTCCATTGGTTAATGTTAGTTTACTCACATAAACAAACAATGAACAATACATTTATTACAGTATTTATTAATCTTTGTTAATGTTAGTTAATGAAACTAGAGTCGTTCATTGTTAGTTTATGTTATTTCACAGTGCATTAACATATTAAATAGCACAACTTTTGATTTTAATAATGCATTAGTAAATGTTGAAATTAACTTTAACTAAATGCTGTAGAAGTATTATTCATGCTTAGTTCATGTTAACTAAAGTAGCTAACTAATGATCCTTATTGTAAAGTGTGTTTTTAAATTCACATTATTACAAAGTGCACTTAGTGTTAAGAAACATTTTATTTATTACATAGCCTTTTATTGCTTTACTATTATATGCAAGTTTTCTGCGTGTTTTTTTAAATATACACTTTTAAAATTTTAAGTACACTAAAAGTGCACATTTAATACAATGAAGCACACTTCCTTTTCACAAGGGTTGGCTTGCTTATAAATAAAAATTCACCAGCTAGATATTGCTTATTATTACTCTTGTTCAGCATAAAACTTAAAACTGCAAACCACAGTCAGCCTGTACTTTGAACTGAACTTTGAACAGTGATTTATTAGTGAAAATCAAAATTATTATTATTTTTTTTTAAATCCTTACATAATACTGAAATTACTTCAGAGATCATGGAAAAGTCATGGCGATTCATTGTGCATGCCCGCAGATCTGTTATTCACCATTTCTTACTCTTTTTTTTTTTTTTTGGAATTCATCAAGTCACCTTATGATTTATCATCTCATGCCATGCGAGAAATGCTGATACATAATAAATGCAGCTCCTGGTCTCACTAGTTGCATTTTCCCCCCGTGAGAGAGAGGCCAGACCTCTCACGGCACACCAGCATCTTATTGAGGAAGAGCTTCCTTAAACCTCTCTATTGTAAGCACCTGGGCCAGGAAGAATGGCTCTTTCACAAGTAAATTGCAGCCCGGCTTTACAGAGAGATTTTATAACAGAGCACAGTTGACATTGGCAAGAGTGGCACGGCCGGCCATTGAAAAGCATGGGCTGCCTCAGTCACAGGAGATCAATCACGGCAGCATATTTCCCCGAAGCTGTAGATTTCCGCTGGGGAGGGGTGCCAAGGGCAGTAAAATAAGTAGCTTGTGGTTAGTCTTATTGTAGAGCCGAGATTCCCAGCGGGTCTCTACTTCACATGGAGCTGTCAGTCTAAAGCTAACAAAACGCCGTCTAACGTCTTCAGCCCGCGTCTTCCCTCCCCCTCCCTACATCGCCGCGCACAGGCAGGGATGCTGCTGCCATGGTAACAGCTGAGTCATTCCGTGCCCTTTGAAGCGATGCTGTCGGGCTCCTCCGGCTCTCTTTTTGCTGCTCAGAAGCGCATATGCACTCTGATCACCACAGGTGTCGTCCGGGAACAGCACTGGGCTAGCAGATCGTGCTAGCCGGATGGGTAACGTTTCTACTGCGGTCAAGCACTGCCTGAGCTATGAGAGTTTCTTGCTGGATTATCCTTGGTTTCCACGGCTCCTGTGGGAAGAGAAGGTGGGGGTCTGTTTTTTGCATGTGCAAGATTTATACATGGCTCTAGGAAATACAGCAACACAGAGAGAAAAGCAATCGCGTAAAGCTCACCCCATAATGAAAGTTTTAATAAATGACCCTCATGTTACCCTCAACCAGTTATTTTCTTTCTTCTGTGAGACTTGAGACTTAATGACACTATATGCATTCTTTGTGACTAAAAAAAAACAAAAAACACATGATTTACTCTTCACCTCCACCAGAGCTCTCAAATATTGTTTTAAATTTGTGGTTAATTACAAAATGGTGCTTTTCATCAAGCCGCACAGGTTTTACGTTATCTATGCCAAACGGCATTGTTTCCCACTTGAAAACTTGCTTATGAGAACTTGCAAATGAGACATATGGCAAACTGAAGAATTTAATTTAATAATGTCAGGGTGGCAGGCCTATACCCTATAGTATACTATAGTACACTTAAAGAGTTCATATGGGATTGAAACTACAGTGAAAAAAAAAACAGCTACTGTATTACTTTCTCTCAAATTGTAATTATGCCTTGGTTCAAATTTTATGTAAATAATTGTTTACATAACTTTAAAATCATTACATGAGGTTATTTTAAGTTCATTTTAATCACATAGTCTTTATACGGTTCCCTGACAGGATTAGTGAGCAAAAGCACATACTGTATTTGTACACTAAATACTAAGTCTTCTTTTTGAGTAAAGCAGCAAAGACATTCTCTTGTTTGTGTACTCAGCCTAAGCAAAAGCTCCACTCTTCGACAAAATGGTAATTGAAATGGTTTCACATCACCATAATTTTCACCTAAGATAAAACTAAAAACAATTTTTAGTTAATGTATAATTTAGTTTACTTACTATAAATAAAGATAGGAATATTTGCTTTGAAAGATCTTAATGTTTATTGTGATGTCTTTTTTTTAAATGCATGATGGTTTCAATCATGTACTGAAAATAAATAAATAAATAAACATTTGATTATTTTAATTTGTACTGTGTGTTATTTGCTGTTTAGCCAAAGTGAACAAAACAGGTTTAAACTGGAAAATTAGATGTCTGATGTTTATTAGACCAATATAGAAATGCACTTTAAATACAGTAAATGACACAGTTGTTTCACTTTATTCAGCCGCTCTCCCAACTTTGGCTTAGCCTCTTGAAAATTCCACTCAAAGCTAGGGGCCAGAAATGTTTAAAGAAATACAGAGACTGCAAAAGTGTTTTGGTGTAATTTATTTTGTTGATAAGAAAATACTGCTTTAATGGATATATCTAGTGGGGCCTGTATTTCTGGTTTGAGCGGCGAGTTTGATTTATGAGTGAATTTAATAGTCTGTCCTAACTGCAGGCCTGGGGTGATAACGGGACAAACCGCAATGGTTCTCCTCCACCTACTGCTTAAAAAGAAGTTTGTTATCATTCCTTTCACACATCCATTTCCTCCCTCCATGACAGCACAATTAAATCAAACTCAGCTCTAAAGAAACTAGACTGTGTGCAGTTCCTCAAAGCAAGGGTTTCAGTATCAAGAGGCTGAGGTTTTATAGCCATTCAAATCTTCTATAAACACAGCATTGGCCCTTGGTAAAACAACTCCCCGGATTCAAAGGTTAAGCTTTGGTTTTACCATTGGAAGAGAGGAAATGCTCGTTTCCAATGCACATTATGTCATAAATGACCTGGCAAGGATCTGAAGACCAGATTCAAAACATGAAGTTGTAGGCACCATTTGACAGGAAGCACCGGACAGAGGATGTGTCTTAATCCACCTTTCAGATTTTCCATACAGCTCTGTGAAATTGTTTTATGATCTTTCCTTCCTCATTGTTTTTCAATTTACAGTGCTCTGAACTGCCAAAGCTTCCACTTTGTGTCAAAATTGTGGAGGTCGGACCAAGAGATGGACTTCAAAACGAGAAGGTAGAGATTTCACAATTCTAAAGTGCTTGTAGCATGTGGTTTAGCATGTTTATGGTTGGCATTCTGCTTTAAAAAAGCATCATAACAAACTCAAAGGCATAAATATAATGAGTGGCTGTGACATTTTTTGTTCAGTAATGACATCATTGGTGAGCACAAAACATACTATCAATAACATGTTTTAATCAGACACATCTTTAGCATGATTTAGTCAACATCGACTTTAATTGGAAAAACGTGCCTCTTCCTACATATTTGTCCACCATTGTACCTATACATACAATTCCATGCTATTTACAGCTGTAATGAGCACTATTGGTGGTAAAACACTAACAAAATTATTCCTTTTCACAGAAATTTTGATTACGGGGCAGATTATTGGTCAATAAAGACATATTATCACACATTTCCTTGCACATTACTATCTTATGACCTCAAAATACTTTTACCATAGTTACGTGATTTGTAAAATACAAAGCTCACCCGGTACAGCATAGCATTTGTGGAACACTCGGTCACGATTAAAGAGCTCGGTGGTTTATAGAAGCAAGCTAAAATGCCATGGTTGCTTCAAAATATGTTTTTAACATTATAAGTTAGGTTTAGGTCAGGGGTAGACAAGTTTGGTCCTAGACGGCTGCTGTTCTGAAGAGTTTAGCTCCAACCCTGAAAAAAAAAAAAAAAACCTTACCTGCCTATAGCCTCAGTAATCCTGAAGACATTGATTAGCTTCTTCAGGTGTGTGATGAGGGTTAGAGCTAAACTCTGCAGGACAACGGCTCTTTAGGACTTAACTTGCCTACCCCAGGTTTAGGTAATGGTTTAGTGTAGGTTGTGCATTATTTTGAAATGCGATAGAGCATTAACCTTTTAGTTCTACTCAGCGTTCATTTCATTTCAGAACTGCTGTGATGCGCTACACCAACCGTGGCACATTCAGCATCTGTTACATATAAAACGGACACTGTATATTAATGCCACTCACTGAAACGTGCAAGAAGCATTCTAATTTTGCAAAAGTGTTGCCACAGGCACATTTTAGCAGATACTGTCCTATTGTATAACAGTATTTTACTGTAAAATTACATTAAATGTAATTATATTTATTCACCGAATATAGTATGGAAACTTACTGTTAACCAGTTAACAGGGTTTTTTTTTACAGTCTTTTACTGTTAAAATCACAATCATTTTTACAGTGGAAAACTATTCATTAGGTGATGGTGGCAAATAAACTATTCATCTCAATAGAACAGTGCTGTTGTGGCTCACAGATGAACACGCTCCCTGGATGTGTTCATAGAAACCTAAGACATTTGATTAATTGTGTTTCTGCAGGAAATAGTGCCGACAGAGGTCAAAATCCAGCTGATAGACATGCTCTCTCAGACCGGGCTGCCCGTCATCGAAGCCACTAGCTTTGTGTCTTCAAAGTGGGTAGCACAGGTAATAAGGCGCAATTGTAATCCTCAAGAGCATGTTGGCTGATATCCTGTGGCTTTTCTATCCACACAAAACCACTGGATTTGGTATCCATGTCCAAAAACTGCATTTGCGCAAAGCCCTTTGGGATAAAGTTTGAGTATACATTCTTGTTGGTTTGCTTTTTGGTTTTTCAGATGGCAGACCACACTGCAGTGTTGAGAGGGATTAAAAGGTCTCCTGACGTTAGATACCCTGTTCTGACTCCCAATGCTCAGGGCTTCCAGGCAGCTGTAAGTAAATATTTGCATCATTTACATTTATTTACAAGTGGCATTTGCAATTTACCTTCCATGCCAGGTCAATGATGTTTTTCTTGTATAATAAACCACTTTATTTATGCATGCGCTCTGCCTACGCTTTCACTGCCCCTTTACTTTACATAAGAGCACGACCTTTACATCTTGTACCATTTATTTGTAAATGTTTAGCCCATTTCTGTTAATTGCTTTCCTTGCTAATCATGCAAGTTGTGCTCACAAGCCAACATCTATAAGCACAAACTTGATTAAATGTTTCCTGTTAAAGTTTGCAGCAGGAGCTACTGAAGTGGCAGTGTTTGGTTCCGCCTCAGAGACTTTTAGCAGGAAGAACATCAACTGCTCCATAGAGGAGAGTTTGCAGAGGTTTGAGCAGGTCATCTCTGCAGCCAAACAGGAAGGCATACCAGTGCGCGGGTGTGTTTCACAGACACCAGCTTTCTTCTATGTGTTTTCTTTGAGATTTAGGCCAGTGCTCATTATGTGCACTAGTATCAAAAGGAAATCAAGTCAACGCCAGGTAATGATGCCGAATCAGGATGACTGGACGAAAAGATTGTGATTAAACAAAGGGGTGAAGGGACGTATAGTGGATAAAGGACCGGTATCTGTATGTTTGATTACAGCCTTGCTTGGGACCAACCATGAGCGGCCTAATACAGAATTGACTGATTTTAGGGGACTATCCGTGAAACGGTTAAACATGCCAAAATGTGTCAATCGGAGCAATCTTATTGATAGTTGAAAGCATATTCAAAGTATCCAGAATTTTGAAGAAATTAAAGTGTCTTTCAATTTTTGCATAAATAAATTTCTCTCCAGATTTCTGCCCATAAGCTGCCACCGTTGTACCCATTTGCTCGACAGTCACCTGTACTGTGTCACTACTTAACTAGGACAGGAGCAAACATTTATGTTTATACAAGAAGATTCTGGGATCCATCTTTGGTGTAACATTGAGCAGGAAGAATATCAACTTTGACTGGAAACGATTGCAGCCTAACAGGAAGGCATGGCTGTGTGCCATAGACCCAGTATTTCCTTCAAGTAATAGGTCAGTGTTCATTATATGCACTTTCACACTTCAACACTAATTTTGAATGAGAATCTGACCAACAATCTGCCAATGATGCAGAAACCGGCAGACTGTGTTGCAGATTATGGTTACTCAAAGGGTTGTTGTTGCAAAGCAGATAAAGATCTGGACTGGTAAAGGGAAGGTTGTAGGCAAGGCTGTAACCTCATATTCAGGATTAGGGCTGACTTAACGTAACAGTCAACAGTATCGGCCATTGAAGCCCCCCTGGGAGGAACTTTGAGAATGACATTGTTTCGAAATTGGTTTTATGCTGAATTCTGCAAGTGTGGAATTTAGTTAATCAAAGTAGTAATAATAATAATAATAATAATGCCGTGGCATACTGGATCATGGTCTGAAGTAATTACTGGATAGCTGAAGGTTTGACCCTCTAAGACATTTTTTAATGTTCTGCAATGTGGATTGTTATGACTTTCCCTTCAGCTGAACTTGTATTGGTAGCTGAATGCTTAATAAAATAAGCTAAATAAAATTATTATGAAAAAAAAAATTTCAGGGTTTACCTCTGAGCTGCCAGCATAATGTCACTGAGTCAGACATTTGATCCAGGTGATTGTCCCTGTGCTTGAATGACTGCAGGACTGTAGTTTTCAGGAGCCATTCGTTATATATACAAGCTCCAAGACTGATCTTTGGTTGAACCAAAAGGTCAGTGGTTTATTTTATTGTACTTACAGCTGTTATGAGGTATCCCTGGGGGACACCATTGGCGTAGGCACCGCGGGCTCCATGGCCGAGATGCTGAGCGATGTGTTGACAGAGGTGCCCGTCAGCGCACTGGCGGTGCACTGCCATGACACTTACGGTCAGGCTCTGCCCAACATTCTCATTGCTCTGCAGGTGAGCAACATTACGGTGGTCACAATCATGAGGTACCTTGTTCATACATGCATGAGGGTTTGGGTGATATTGTAGCAAACCATCATATATGTCACCTGTAGTGTCATCTGTCGCAATAAAACATCACACTCTAAAAAATGCTGGGTTAAATACAACCCAGTGCTGGGTAAAATAGGGACAAACCCAGCAATTGGGCTGTTTTGACCCAGCGGTTGGGTTAAATGTTTAACCCAACCTTCTGGGTAGTAACCCAACCGCTGGGTCAAAACAACCCAATTGCTGGGTTTGTCCCTATTTTACCCAGCACTGGGTTGTATTTAACCTAGCATTTTTTAGAGTGCATGTGTGCACTGAACAAACTATATCAGGCCGTTGGACCAAAATATATATGAAAGTATGTGAATGCAAACAGGTCCTGCTACTCAAGCTCTTTTTGACCCATTGTTGCATTCTGAACACAATTTCTAATAACACAGTGAAACAAATTTTTACAAAAGATTAAGTTTAAAAACATTACTTCTCTGTACTAAACCTGTTTCATAATTAATGATAGAAGTTCTAAAATTTACCTGAGCTAAATATTTACCAAAATATTGATGCTACATGAAAATAAATAGTGCAGTAATAATTAGCAACACAGAACAATAAAAAATGTAAGTGAAACAATTGTTTTGTTACATTGTGTAATGCAACTCAATCTCATTCTATGCAAGGGACAGTATAGGAGTAAAATAGCATAAATTGTATTCTTCTACTGTCAGGTTCTCTTTCAGGTCAACTATTGCCATGGTGAAGAGACACTTGAAGAGAAAATACAATTTACAATATCAAGTCACCTTTATTTTATAGCACTTTATACAACAGAGATGGTTTCAAAGCAGCTTTACAGTATTAAACAGGAAAGGAACAGAATCGGTGATGCAAGCTTCAGAAAAGAGGCAAATGCAAAATTAAAGCAGCTGTAGCAAGACACTAGTGTCATTATTCAGCTCTAGGCAGTTCATTGTTGATTCTGTTCAGTTCATTAACTGTGTAAAGTTAATTCATTAGGAAACAAGTTCAATTCAGCTTGAGTCAGCTCAATGTTGATTCATTTCAGTTCAGTAACAGTGTTGACATTACATGCATGCATTTGGCATTTATTTGGCATTGACTTTATTTGGAAAGGCATGGATAATGGCTTATAAACGAACAACGAATTCTACCGAATAATAGGTCAAATGTTTGGCAGACAGTGTCACCCTTCATATTTGCTGGATAACAGGTGGGCCAGAGGACAGAATAATATTATGTAAACCTCTAAAACTACTATGCAATAATGAGTGTGTAAAGTGAATGTGTGTAAACTCTACGAATGAAATGAGCAGAGCATGAATGCAAATAAAATAGTTGTGTTTCCTTTTCTGTGTGTCTCTCAGAAATTAGAGCTTACCAAACAAAGATACTGAATCATATGCATGTTCTGCTATTTGATATGTCTATTTAAATGTTTTAAACCAGTACGATATGATACACAATATGTTTCTCTGTCTTAGTCTCTCCCAGGACTGGTCTGTAATTTATGCATTATTTATAATTTGTTCAGATTTGCATTTATATTATGCATAGTAAAAGTTGTTTCAGTCATTTTCAATCACTGAATATTTTCTTTCAATTTCCATGTGCTCATATTAGCTATTTTGAATGGAGTCCTCTTATTTTGGGAAGTTGTGGCCTAATGGTTAGAGAGTTGGACTCGTAACCCAAAGGTTGCGGGTTCGAGTCTC